CGAGGCAAGTGCTATATACCACTGAGCCACAACCCCAGTCCCTTCTATAATTTTTTTTAAAGCTAGCTTCTTGTGTTTCTCAAATCTCTCTGGCTGGCATCTTTTTCATCTTTATTCTAAGTAATGACTTGTACAGCCAGTTTTTTTATATTTACCTACTGGAACTTGCATGTTTACCTATTATATTTCATCTTCTTAGATAAAGGGCACATAACTCCAAACTTTCAAAATCTTTGTAAATGTCAATTCTGTCATGCAATATGTTTACAACCTTTCATTCTCCTTTCACGCATATTTCTCCTCAGAAACAAAATTATCTTTCATCCTTTCTGACCAAACAGAATTTATATCTAGGTCAATGGATGACTACTATCCCATTTGTTGTATTCATCTCATTCTAAACAGCTTAAAGAATTAAAGCATTACATGGTGCCTATGCTTATTTCTCCTATAGCACCTCATACTGAAGCAACATCTGCAGAATGATGAATACCAGTTTATTCCTCTCTTCTCCCTCAGCTATCTTATAGAAGACTGGATTCATACTAAAGACTTTCAAATCATTAATGTATATTTAAATAACTGAACTAATTACTTTATAAGCTCAAATTTGGAAATTCTGTTTATTTTTCTCAAGCTACAAAATGCATTTATCACAGTAGTTTAGTATTCTAAGAAAATCAGATATGTTACTAATGCTTCAGTGAAGATTATGGCATACTTTCTGAATTATGAAATATTCACTTCTGAGACAGCATCTTAAAAAGGAGTTAATGCCAAAACAATACTGTTTTGTTGACATACAAGGCTTAGCCAATAAAAACATTTGTTCTCATGATCATAAATAGATTGTTAGCCATAGAATGCTTCTGAAAAACAATTCTTTAATTTTCTTTGAAATACTGTCACTAAAATTAACTGCAACTTTATTTATATGACTGTCTGTGGTTTCTGTGTATACCTAAAAAGCACAAGAAAAAGACAAAAATATCCTAGAATTGGAAAAGTAGTCATTATGTTTGGTTTAGCTTATTTTCATATTTTTATTTTTAAAATCTGTCCAAATTGAAGTTCACCATTTCTAAATAGAAGGCAATTTCTTTATGTAAAAACGGAAAGAATAAATTCAGCATCCTCTAAATTAAGCTTGAGATTTTATTTATTATAAATGAATGCCTAAAGTCCTTTTTCACAAATTATAAAGTTTAATCTTCAGGATGAACATATAATTTTTCATTTAGAATTTAAGGATATCTAATATATGTTGCCTGGGAACAAGAATTGGCAACAAAATATAATTTCGATAAAATATTATACTCTGAACCCATATTTGTCCTCAGATAAAATAAACAGGTAAAGTTGATCTGTACTTAGTAATGTAGCGCTATGGTTTGAATACAATTTGGGTGTCCCCCAAAGGTTCATTGTGAATGAAGCTTTAGTCTACAGGGTACTGCTTTTGGGAGGTGATGGAACCTTTAAGAGGTGGGTCATGATGGGAGGTTCTTAAATCGCTGGGGCATGAGGATTTCTCATGTAAGCCCTTAGTACTTCTCATGAGAGGGTTGTTATGAGAACAACACTGACCCCTCTCATTCTCTCTGATCCTGGTTGAAGTTGTAATGGCTTGCTTCTGCATGCACTTCTCCCATGGCTATATGTGCCATGAAGTGATATAGTCAAGAGGCAGCCCTTACCACAGACCCTGTGCTATACTGTTTGGAGTTTAAACCTCTAAAACTGTGAACTAGATAAAATTTCTTTTCTTCATAAGTAGCCTGTGTCATGCATTTTTTATAGTGATGAAAACTTGACTAACAGAATCAGCATTCTCTTAACATTTTTCAATCTCAGTTCTTATAAATTACAGAACTCTGTTTTCAGAGTAAATGTTTCTGCTTTTACACTAAAATGCAAATGCTTACATAGTTTAATGTGTAACTCCAAGAATATTCCCACATCTTAGCTAAAACTAAGAAGATCTGGGTTTGAATACTAGCTCTGCTGCATTCTACCTGTTAGACTTTGCTAAAATTATTTAAACTTTCTAAGCCTCAGTGTACTTATTTGCAAATTAACATACTGTTATCATTTATCTAGTTTATGTTAGTATATCATAGTCTATCAATACTATACAACTGTTAGATATTAACCTTAATGCTACCTGCTAAAAGTCAATCCATCTTGTAAAGGATATGTTTTTTTTCTGTATGTCTTCAGAAAAGGGTCACTATTACTCTAGAATCAACAAACCATTTAGGGACTAAACCAGATCAATTAAGACTAAACTTTTACTAGTCTGTCTTTGGTTCTTGAAGTTTAAAAAGTTACTCAGGATCACATAGTATACCACAGTTGTTTAATTTATTGTTGTTCATATGCAAAAATTACACCTAATATCAAAGAATAGTATAACATTATAAATGAAAAGACAAAAACAAAAAACTAATAGATACAAATAAAATAGCTTTAATAGATGCAAAATAAATCTATTTTGTATTGACAAAGCACAACAGACATAAATAGTCAGAACTGCCAATAGATGAATGAATAAAGAAACTGTGGCATATATACACATACACACACACACACACACACACACACACACACACACACACACAATGGAATATTATTTGGCCTTAAAGAAGAATGAAATTATGACATTTACAGGTAAATGGATGGAGTTGAAGAATATCATGCTAAACAAAGAAAGCCAATCCCAAAAAACCAAAGGCCAAATGTTTTCTCTGATTCATAATTGGGGTGGGAGGGATGGAGGAACTTTGGAATGAGCAGAGTGGAGGGGAGGGAAAGGAAGGGGTTTTGGGGGGGAATATGGTAGAATGAGATGGACATTATTACCCTATTTGCAGGTATGATTACACAAATAGTATGATTCTACATCATGTACAGCCAGAGAAGTTGTACTCCATTTGTATAAAATATAAAATTAATTTTTAAAAAAGAATCAGAATTGCTATCAATTATGAAAAATTGTGGGGAATAGGAACATTTTCAACATAATCCAACAAATCAATTATCATTTAAGTATTAATCTGGCCCACCAATTTTTTAAATGGTATACTAAGAATCAGTCAAAAAGTCATCTAGATGAGAAAAAATTCTGTCTACCTCTTGACACCTTGATTTCACTAATCCAGCAGCATACAACTTTACCCCATTATTGGACAGACACTAGTAGCATTTAAACATGCCAGTATCTGTCATACAAAATAAAAATAAAAAATATCCATTTACTAAGTAGTAAAACCAATATATGTTTCTCCCTTGCCTCAGAGATATCACAAACATCTATATCCTTGACTATCAAAACATAAAAAGTATCCTTTCTCAGTCCTAGCTGTAGAGCTATGATAATTTGTTTCTACCCCCATAAAGTCTGTTCTTGAAACTTATGAAAGTGGTTCATTGTTCATACAGTCAAATTGATGTACCTCTTTAGTCCTCCATATTTTGATGTAAAGGAACTTAAAAAACTTTCCAACATGTCCCCAGCACCCAAATTTACCTTTTCAGTCAGCACTAAAAGGGTTAGCTAAAACAAGGTTTAAAAGCTATTATAATAAAAATGCCTGCTTATTCACATGGTAAGGCCAATTACTGGTATGTGAAAGCATGTGGGGGAGAAAAGAAAGGAATGCAAAGGGCTCTCCAAACAGTCACTTTTCCTTGGGTCCTTACATTCCTTCCCTATTTTTAATGCCAAAATTCAAGATTTACCTTCTCTGTGGGCCTACAAACCCACAGTCTTCTTTACATGACTGGGTTATAACAATCAAAACTAAGTGTTCAGCAATATATTTTTCATCCTCAGTAAAGCAGAATGGCACAGTCATCAGCTAGAAAGAGCAAACTTATAATTTTTCAACATCAATTTTATTCCTCATAGACCTTTCTGATACAAGTTAACAAAAGAATGAACAATTCTTCCTCTGAGTGAGGTGGCAAGAGATGAAGAAGAGTCATAACATCTGCCCCATTTATTAAGCACTTGTTCTATGAATTGTATATACATCTTTTCCATTTTGTCTTTACAACAACCCTATGAATTATCGTTTTACAGATGAAGACTCTGCTATTTAAAGAAGTTAATTAACTTGTCAAAAGTCCATACAATGCAACTGGGATTTCAACCCAGGCAATCTGCTCTGCAGCCTGCACTTCTATCACATTACACTGAATATTCTTTCAACAGAAACTTCTTGAATGTGTGTGTGTACATAAACAAAATATTAATAATCTTCTCCTCCCTCTCTTCTCTTTTTCTTGAATGGAACCAAACTTGTGTAGAACCAAACTTTAAAGTCATCTTACAAAGTCTTTTTAGTCCCTTGTTTTACCACCTTGGATCTGCCACCAGATAAAACGGCCTGGCTATCATAAACTATATTCAACCACTGAGTTCCTTTAAAATGTCTAATTGTTCCTCCCCCAAAGTCAGTTGAATTGCACTATTAATAAAGTAACCTACAAACACTGTAGCTAAAAATAAAAGAATTTAGATTTATGATTTCAAGACCAAACTCAAACCATGGCTGGTCATCATTAAACAAACTTTTGGTTTCTTTTTGTCTGTTTTTTATTTTGTTGATCACTAAAACACTAACCAGGAAATTTCAGGAAAAATAATAAAATAAATTTTGTCTAGTGATAAATAATCCTGAAACTACTTAGGCTAAGATTTTTACTAAGGAATCAGAGGGATTTTTCTGTTCCTGAGCAATAAAGATCATCAATTTCACTTGTAATGTTAGGGATAAATTTAAGTAGGAAAAAAGAATAGCATAACAGGCATTCCAGAATCAATATATTTAAAGGGGATTATATTTACAGATCTTGGAGGGAAGAAAATTATTTCTAAGACTACATTGCAGATGAATCATCAAATTATTTAATAAGAAATAATGTAATAATGTAATAATGTAAACAGAAAAAGAAAAATATAATTATAAAAGTATAATAATACAACATCAACTTACCAATTCAATTCCCTGTGGAAAAGGTGTATCATCCCAGTCCTTCTGCGGAAATCTCTGGATTATTTTCCCCAGACCTTCTCCTGAGTCTGTAAACAAAATCAAAGTTAGCTGGGTATGATAAGCACATGCCTAAAATCCCACCTACTTGGGAGACTGATGCAGAAGAATAACAAGTTGAGGCCATCCTGGGCAGCTTAGGGAGACCCTGTATCAAAATTAAAAAATGAAAAGCACTAGGGAATGTAGCTCAGTGGTACACTACTTGCCTAGCATACGCAAGGCTCTGGATTCAATTCCCAGTACCAATTGGGGGAAAAAATCAGTTACAAGGTACTAAAAAACTGAAGACTCATTAAACTATTCTCATTTCTAAATTAACATTTGAAAAATTGATATATCAATTAAACATTTTTAAGTTTTAAAGGACATAAAAGTATTATTTTCAAAACACAATACTGAAAGAACAGGCGATCCCCCATCCTATAGACTGCCAAAGATTGACACATATGAAAAGTAAAGAAAAACAGACACAGGTATTGGAAATCTATCACATCATGAACATAACTGTTCTCTGTGCCCCAATAATGAAATAACTTCAGTATACCAACCTGAAATTTAAGGAGTGCTTTTCTGTGGAAACAGAGTAATTTTAAACAATAAATGATATGGTATTGTTGGTGCTAAGCGTCAGTTAGGGTTTGTAAGAACTATTAAGGGTTAAATACAGTTTTTTAGGCTGCGCTGGAACCTTGACCATGTCTATGCAGAGTTCCTTAACATTAGACTATTGACATTTGGGCTGGATAATTTTTTGGTGTGTATGGGGTAGGGGAGAGAGTACTATCTTGTATATTACGGTATGTGGCATCCCCAGCTTCAACTCACTACATGCTAGCAGCACCCTACCACCACCACCAAGTTGTTACAATCAAGAATGTCTCCAGATATTGCCAAATGTCTCCAGGGTTGAAAACCACAGGTTTTTATAACTATTGTTATAAAGTTAGCCTATGACATCAAAGACTGAATCAACTTATTATTGAACTTTGGGGATATAATCTTGTGAGTAATTTGGGGATGAAAAGTACATGTCAGATCTAAATTGTTTTTTACTGTACTTTGTGTGTGTATGTGTGGTTCATGGGGATCAAACCCAGGGTCTTTCCCATCGTGCTAGGCAAGCTTACTACCATTGAGATTACACCCTTTGCTACATATAATTCAGCCCTTTGCTATATGCTTCATAGATTTACATATCTACATGATGTCCAACTTACTCTAAGATGAAAGCAACAATATTCTGATTATTTCCACATCTAATTTAGGGACGCCTTAAAAACTGCCTAAATTTATTAATACACTTTTTGAAAAATCATCCCAATGAATTCAACTTTTTCCTTGCATCTGCAGTATACATTTTATTTGACAACTATCTTATGGGCAGTATGAGTTATATGTAGAATTCTGAGAAGATAACATTTACAATAAAGAGCAAGCCATGGTGAAGCAAAACTGTTCTACATTTATATTTCTTCTTTATGCCCACAGGTAAAGTATCACATCAATCAAGAGGGGCTATGGAAGTACTTCCTATCTGTATCACATATTAAATGTGGCATTCTGACAGGGTAGCAAGAGGAAAAGTACATAATAGAAAAAGGATCCTCTGAAGGAAAAACTAGGAAAACCACCCCTGTTACAATAGCCTCAAAAAAAAAAAAAAAAAACTTGGGAATAAACATAATGAAAGAGGTGAAAGACCTCTACAAGGAAAACAACAGAATGCTGAAGAAAGAAATTATTTTTTTTATTTTTTTAGTTATACATGGACACAATATCTTTATTTTGTTTATTTATTTTTATGTGGTGCTGAGGATCAAACCCAGGGTCTCTCACACGCGAGGCAAGCGCTCTACCACTGAGCCAAAACCCCAGCCCCTGCAGAAAGAAATTAAAGAAGACCTTTTAAGATGGAAAGATCTTCCTTGTTCTTGGATGTGTAGAATTAATATTGTCAAAATGACCATACTACCAAAAGCACTATACAGATTTAATGCAATTCTAATCAAAATCCCAATGACATTCCTCATAGAAATAGAAAAAGCAGTCATGCAATTCATCTGGAAAAATAAGAGACCCAGAAAAGCTAAAGCAACCCTTAGCAAGAAGAGTGAAGCAGGTGGCATCACGATACCAGACCTTAAACTATACTACCGAGCAATAGTAACAAAAACAGCATGGTCAAGGATAGTGGAAGGAGACGGTCATCATTATACAAAATTCATGTATGAAGGTGTGAATTTGGTGTCAACATACCATATATACAAACAGAGATTTGATAAATTGTGGTATAAAAGTGTATTAAAAATTGTAATGCAAAAAAATTATTAATGCATTACATTAATAATGTAATTAATAATGTAATTAATGCATTACATTAATGCACTCCACTATTGTCAAGAAAGAAATAATTTTAAAAATCAAATAAAATAAAAATAAATAATTTTTTTAAAGCAGCATGGTATTGGCACCAAAATAGACTTGTAGACTAATGGTACAGAATAGAGGACACAGAGACTAACCCACATGATTACAGTTATCTTATATTTGACAAAGGCACTTAAAATGTACATTGGAGAAAAGACGGCCTCTTCAATAAATGGTGCTGGGAAAACTGGAGACCCTCATGAAACAAAATTAAATTAAACCTATATCTCTCCATGCACAAAACTCAACTCAATGTGAATCAAGGACCTAGGAATTAAACCAAAGACACAGTGTCTATTAGAAGAAAAAGTAGGCCCAAATCTCCATCATGTCGGTTTAGGTCCCAACTTTCTTAATAAAACTCCTGTAGCGCAAGAATTAAAACCAAGAATCAATAAATGGGAAGGATTCAAACTAAAAAGGTTCTTCTCAACAAAAGAAACAATCAGTGAGAGAGCCTACAGAATGGAAGCAAATCTTTACCACAAGCATATTGGATAGAGCACTAATCTCTAGGACTTATAAAGCACTCAAAAACCTTAACACCAAAAAAACCCAATAACCAAATCAACAAATGGGCCGGGGAACTGAACAGACACTTCTCGGAAGAGGACATACAATCAAACAACAAACATATGAAAAAATGTTCAACATCTCTAGCAATTAGAGAAATGAAAATCAAAACTACTCTAAGATTTCATCTCACTCCAGTCAGAATGGCAGCTATTAAGAATACAAACAACAATAAGCGTAGGCAATAATGTGGGGAAAAGGCACATTCACACATTGCTGGTGGAACTGCAGCATGGTACAGCCAATCCGGAAAGCAGTGTGGAGATTCCTTGGAAAACTTGGAATGGAACCACCATTCAACCCAGCTATTCCACTCCTCAGTTTATACCCAAAGGACTTAAAAACAGCATACTATAGGGACATAGCCATATCAATGTATAGCAGCACAATTCACAAGAGCTAAATTGTGGAACCAACCTAGATGCCCTTGAGTAGATGAATGGAAAGGGTAACTTTGGTATATATAAATATACAATGGAACATTACTCAGCATTAAAAGAGAATAAAGGGGATGGGGATGTGGCTCAAGCGGTAACGCGCTCGCCTGGCATGTGAGGGGCACTGGGTTCGATCCTCAGCATCACATAAAAATAAAATAAAAAGATGTTGTGTCCACCGAAAACTAAAACATAAATAATAAAAAATTCCCTCCCTCCCTCTCTCTCTCTAAAAAAAGAGAGAGAGAATAAAATCATGGCATTTGAAGGTAAATGGATAAAGTTGGAGAACATAATGCTAAGTGAAGCAAGCCAATCCCAGAAAACCAAAAACCGAATGTTTTCTTTTATATGAGGACACAGACATATAATGGCAATTGTGGGGAAGAATGGGAGGAATGGAGGAACTTTAGATAGGGAAAAGAGGGAGAAATGATGGTGGGATGATTTAGACATCATTACCCTAAATACATGTTTGAAGACACAAATGGTGTGAAAATACTTTGTGTACAACCCATGTCTTGAAAAACTGTGCTCTATATGTATAATATGAAATTAATTGTATTCTGCCATCATGTATAACAAATCAGAATTTTTTAAAGTCATTATTTTCTCTTATATGTGGAAGCTAGAAAGGGAAAAGAAAAAGAAAGGTGGTGCAGGAGGATCTCATGAAAACTGAAGGGAGATCAGTAGAGTAAGAGAAAAGACAAGGGAGAGGGAAGAATGGGAGGGAAAAGGGAAATAACAGAGAATGATATCGGCCAAATTATATTGTTTTATTGTATGCACAAATATGTAACAATAAACCTTACCATTATGTACAACTATACTAAATCAATAAAAAATATAGAAAAATAACTAAATAAATAAAAAGGAGAAGCCTAAAAAAAGCACATAGACAAAATATATGACCAATATCACACTTAATGGAGAAAGACTGAAGGCTTTCTCACTAAGATTCAGAAAAGGGATGTAAACTACTATCATTTTTATTTGACATTGCACTTGCTGTCCTAACCTGTGCAATAAAGAAAGACATCACAGGCACACAGATATGAAAAGCAGAAGTAACATTCCTTATTCACAATTTTTTTAGAAATCCCTATGAAATAATTTTAAAACCTAGAATAAATGAGTTTAAGGTCTCAGAGGGTCAACATTAAAATTTGATTGTATTTCTATTACTAGCAATAAGCAATTGAAAATGTAAAATACCAACTTAACTCAAAATGGATCAAGGATCTAGGAATTAAACCAGAGACTCTGCATCTAATAGAAGAAAAAGTAGGCCTTAATCTTCATCATGTGGGATTAGGCCCCAACTTCCTTAATAAGACTCCTATAGCACAAGAATTAAAAACAAAAATCAATAAACGGGATGGATTCAAACTAAAAAGTGTTTTCTCAGCAAAAGAAACAATCTGTGAGGTGAACAGAGAGCCTACATCCTGGAAGCAAATTTTTACCCCCTACACATCAGATAGAGCACTAATCTCTAGGGTATGTAAAGAACCCAAAAAGCTAAGCACCAAAAAAACAAATAACCCAATCAACAAATGGGCCAAGGACCTGAACAGAACTTCTCAGAAGAGGATATACAATCAATCAACAAATATATGAAAAAATGTTCATCATCTCTAGCAATCAGAGAAATGCAAATCAAAACTACTCTAAGATATCATCTCATTCCAGTCAGAATAGCAGCTATTATGAAGACAAACAACAACAGTGTTGGCGAGGATGGTGGGGAAAGGTACACTCATACATTGTTGGTGGGACTGCAAACTGGTGCAGCCAATTTGGAAAGCAGTATGGAGATTCCTTGGAAATCTGGGAATGGAACCACCATTTGACCCAGCTATTCCTCTTCTTGGACTATACCCAAAGGACTTAAAAACAGCATACTACAGGGACACAGCCACATCAATGTTTATAGCAGCACAATTCACAATAGCTAAACTGTGGAGCCAACCTAAATGTCCTTCAGTGGATCAATGAATAAAAAAAAAAAATGTGGCATATATACACAATGGAATTTTACTCAGTATTAAAAAAAAACCAAAATCATGGCATTTGCAGGTAAATGGATGGCATGGCGCTGGAAAAGATAATGCTAAGTGAAGTTGGCCAAACCCCAAGAAACAAATGCCAAATGTTTTCTGTGATATAAGGGGGAGTGACTCATAGTGGGGGAGGGAGGGAGAGCATGGGAGGATTAGATTAATTCTAGATAGGGAAGAGGATTAGCAAGAATGGTAGAATGTGATGGTCATCATTATACAAAGAACATGTATGAAGACTTGAATTGGGTGTCAACATACCTTATATACAAACAGATATAAAAAATTATGGCATATATGTGTATTAAGAATTGTAATGCAGGCTGGGGATGTGGCTCAAGCCATAGTGCGCTCGCCTGGCATGCGTGCGGCCCAGGTTCGATCCTCAGCACCACATACAAACAAAGATGTTGTGTCCGCCAAAAACAAAAATAAATAAATAAATATTTAAAAAAAATAAAGAATTGTAATGCAAAAAAATTACATGTATAATGGCATAAATTGGCGTGAACATACTTTATATACAAAGATACAAAAAATTGTGCTCTATATCTGTAATAAGAATTATAATGCATTCTACTGTTGTCATGTATTTAAAAAAATAATAAAAAAATTTTTAAAAATACCCAATAA